TCTCTCTCTCTCTCTCTCTCTCTCTCTCTCTCTCTCTCTCTCTCTCTCTCTCTCTCTCTCTTTCCCCTTCGCCGTCGTGAGCAACATCGCTAGAACGGCTGGTCGTCACAGAGGGTGGTGCCCACCCCCGCCAGCTGAAACTCCTGTTCGCTCGCTTCCCCTCTTTCTTCACGCTCTTCATCCAACTCGTCTATGGGACACCGTAGCCGACGATTGCGGTGGCATAGCGGGAAGCAGGAGAGAGAAAAGGAGAGGCGAATGCTTCGAGACTATTGAAAAGCCACCTATGTAAGCCTTGGTGTCGCGCTATGGATTCAGAAACGAGAGGAAAAGTTCCCGTAAACACGAGTCCCGGAAGGGATTTCTCTTTGAGTTATAAGCTGTTTCTTTCTTGCTTCTTCTCTCTCTCTCTCTCTCTCTTTCTCTCTCTCCCTCTCTCTCGCGTCCTTCTGCTCTCTTACGCCAACCTTCCTCCGCACACGACCGCCTTCTCTCTCGTTTCTGTTGCTATGCGCGAGTGCATGAGACCGGCCCCATATGGTGTGTTCGCCACTAGCCTCACCAAAAGCAGCCCAGGACCACTATGTAGCGAGTGAGAGAGAAAGAAAGAAGGAGAAGGATAGATAGATAGATAGAGAAAGAGAGAGGGGAGAGAGAGAGAGAGAGAGAGAACAAGGAAAGCTAGAGCGACGCTAAAAGCGCGACCGGAAAGGAGACTGATGAAGCATGAGAGGGGAGAGAGAGAGGGGAGAGAGAGAGAGAGAGAGAAAGAAAAAATAGCAAAGATGCTCGAGCGAGACGGAAAAAAGGCAGAAGGACGACCACGCTTCCACAGATTGTCTCGCCACTGCTGCCGCCACACCGACGCTTAATGGCGAATTCTTCGGCTAATTTGGAGCCAATATTTTCTTAATAAAAATGCCGAAAACTAACGCTAATAGTACGTTAGTGGTCGACGATCAGAAACAAGAAGTGTCTCATGAGCCAGTTTTTAAACGTGCGCGCTACATGAAAAAAAAATCGTATTCTTGAATTGAAAAGTTCGCCCGAGAGTAGACTTTGACAGAGTCCGAATTCGAACGTTCGTAGTCAAAGGAATCGCATAGTAATGATAAAAGTCGGAAAGTCGTGCGAAAACTACGGCCTCGGAATTCCCTTGAAATTCTCATTGAGGAAACATCGCGATTCCGAATTGATCAAAGAAATTTCCCCGTCAGACGCTGATGCGGTACGGTCAGCCTGAACACGGAGCTCGTAGGAGAGTCACTTCCTGTGGGAAGAAACGTCAGCGCGAGTGCGGTAAGATTGCGGTCCTCACGAGCACGTCATTCTCGACCGACGAGCTCGACTTGTCGAAGCCGTCGAGCGGATTAGGCCAAGGATAGTACCGTAAGGGTTAAGGGCGAGAAAGGGTTGCACGGTTGTCTTTACAACCGGAAGACTGTGGCGTCGTTATTGTTTCTCGCGACCGTGATTCCTCGACGAAGCTACCCGTGGCCGGGAATCCGTCCTCTGGGCGCTGGCTATAGTGTTTTGCGTGTTTGTATTGAGCACGAATCTCATTAAGCGGACTTTCGCGGCGAGGGCTCTCTCTCTCTTTCTCTCTTTTTCTTTCTCTGTCTGTCTCTCGCAAAGAGCGCCTTGAACAAAGAGACGTCTTAAGAAACACAAAAGTCGAAACACAAAGTCGAATCGAATTATCTCGAGGTGTTCCACCTCCGG